GGTGTACTCCAAGGTTCTGTCCTGTCACCTTTACTTTACTCTCTCTATATCAATTCTCTGCCTGGTGTTCTTCGGTCTGTTGCTACACCAAGTACGACATCTGTTTTCCCTCCTGGTGCTACTCATGGTACTCCAATTAATTGCCTCTTGTTCGCTGATGATGTAGCTATCTTAGGATCTGCATCTCAAGTACAACGCATGCTCAACCTATCTGCTGAACACTCTCACTCGATTGGCTACCGATGGAGTCCCTCAAAATGTGCTGTTCTCAATGCCCCCACAACCGGCCCTCAAATGACATTGTACGGTAACTCACTACCTACAGTTGATGAGTTTGTATACTTAGGCGTACCTTTCAACAAGGATGGTCTGTATGGCCCTGGCATCCTGTCCCTCCGCCAAGCAAGTGCAATCAAAACCATGGCCCTTCTCACTTCAGTTGGTGTCCACAAAAATGGTTTCTCTCTCCTCCTCTGCTCCCGGCTATATACCAGCTTTATTCGTCCAAAAATAGAGTATGGTCTGGCCATCTCCCACCTCACAGATACACAATTAAAAGCCATTGACGATACACAAAACCGGCTTGTCCGAATGTTCGTTGGTGGATCTTGGTTCAATGTTGCTAAACATATTACTTGCCTCCCCTCGATGAAACACCGCTATAACGTGCTTGTCACTAGATATGTGTTGAGAGCTAATTTACTACCAGATGACTGTCTACTTGTTCTCCTGAAGTCTCTACAAAAACCACCCAGATTGATCTCTCTCCTTCAAAAGAATGCCCTCTACAGATCTCTGCCAACTCCACTACCCGCCACTCCTGCTTTACTGAATACACACTTCAGAAAATTCTGGCAAGACCAATTTGATACTCTCATGGCTAAAGCTGTTACCTCTGGACATCATGTTCTACTTCGAGCATGTCGTCCATGTACTTCTAAACCTGACCCTATACTGTATCTCCCCATGTCCAAAACGGCTAGAAGTCGCCTAGTACGCTGGCGTCTAGGTCGATTCGCCAACATGCGTGAACAATGCCCCTGCTTTTCTGGTGAATACATCACTCGTGACCACTTTCTCTCTGTTACCGTGCTCTGGAGTCAACCCTTTGGGACTCTCTACCACCATCTCCATCACCTACAATTCATCGTCTAGACTTTGCAATTAGTAGTCTTCCAACTTCCGCTGCTTCAGGCCCACCACCATATTGGTCCGACTTACTTCAACTACTATATGCAATTGATTGTCTTGTACATCCTCTTGCTAATATCGCCCCTGATCCGGATCCTGGTGATTCATGGCTTCCCCCTCCTCTGCTCCCTGCATAGATGACCTATTTGTATCTGTCTTCCATCTGCGTCGCTACGGTGGTAAGTCATATCAAAGTTCCCAGCCGATAGTCGAACCAGAGGATCATTTACAAATACATTAGTCTACAAGCTCTTTTCTTACTCCTAATCCTTTTTTCCCTTATACGCTCTCTGTTGGGTTTTTTATATTTTCTCCTCAAATTTAACTTAGTTCATCCTTTGTGGTATTTATGCTCTATAGAGTCGCCCATACATTGTTGTAATTAATAAAATTAAAATCTTTAACCTGAGCTAAGCGAGCACCTTTCTTTCGCTTAAAGAATTTTTCAGTAAGTTTTGCATCCAAAATTTTTGAAAACACTCCTACTTTGGAGAAGATCAGGACTAGTTTGATATATTTATCTTTCATGCTTCTATGGATTTTTTTTTTAATTTTTTTTTTTTTTTTTAAGCTCTAAAAAAGTTTTTGAAAAAAGTCAAATCACGTGAGGTCACGTGAATATCACGTTTCAGTTCTCTGATTGGCTGAAATTATTTGACTTTAGAGGATTCTTACAAGCATGCAAAATAAAATCAGACCTTTTTATCCCAAAGATATAAATCTAACAAACTTACCACACCACCCTGAATTACAAGAAAGCTATTTATAAGCCTTTTATGAAGGGTTTGCATCTTAAAGCACGAAAATCTCAATTTCCTGATAAATGAGCCCAGACTTTCTTTATTAAATATGATTCCTTATTTTTCTGCCTACCGTTCTATAGTAGTTTTATATTTTTTGGTTAATATTCTATTGAGATATGGCTGCTTTAAAATTACACAGCTTATTTCTTTTTTTAAGAGAGTCTCCTTCCGCGCATAAAAATTGCGCTGAAATTGTGGGGTACTTTCAACTCCGCTGATACTACTAACCTCTCTGGGCCATTGTTTTCTTTTCCCCTTTTTCGCTTCTTTTTTTTTTATAAACCATCTTTTTATAAACCATCTTTTTATAAATCATTTTTTTATAAATCATTTTTTTTTAAATTATTATTAACAAACTAAACAAAGGGACCTATTAAAAACACGAGTGCTTACCGCGATTGCAAAAGCTCAAAATGCAGAAAAGGCCCCAATGGCTACAAAACAGTTACACGTAACACTCTTTTGAACCATACTAAAGCTGATAAACGTGCAGCTTTAATTCTTGCAAGTATGGGTCTCGGAACTAATTTGACGCATTTACCTAAATTAAACTCTTTCTTTTTTTTATTTTGCTAGGTGACATGGAAGTTGATTCCAGCAACAATTATGGTAAACGATCTTGTTTTTTATTTCATAAACATTAGCATAGTTTTTACCAAGTTCTTTAATTAAACACATTTATTATACCAGCCACTACCCCATTTGCAGTTGCGTCAAACCAAGACAACGATGACACCGAGAATGAAAGTGGTGAAGAAGATTTAGGCCAAGAATCTGATGAGGACGATGTAAACGAGGACATTGAACCTGAAGAAGGTAGAAGCGACATTAAGCCCATTGTAAATATATGCGTTAACTTTTTTTTAAATAGATCCCTTTGTTGGGTTTTCTAATAATGCTCATCTCCCTACCGATCCTTTGGCATTTATCTTCTTTTTGACCGTGTTCTTGCTTCACGGCAAGTATTTAACCGACGAAGGTTGTGAGCTTTTGATGGTGATGCTCAATATAGCATTAAAGCTTGCCAACAGCGAGTACAAATTCCCTGTTCGTGCTGAGACATTTGTTTCTTGGTGTAATCTTGGTGCCACTGTGTATCATGGAATGAAAGAGCACGTCAGCTGTACCGTATGCCATGCCGTTCATCCTTATGACACCGAAGTTGAAAAAAATCGATTGATTGGAAAAAACTGCTCTTCAGTCGAACCTTTTCCTGGATCAACTCGCTGTGGCAATAAACTTTTCTCTGTCAATAACAGAAGCGTACTGAAACCAATTCGATCATTTTATTACAACTCACTTGTATCAACATTACAGGCATTTTTTTTGCGTGAAGGGTTTGTGGATGATATTAGAAGATGGAAATCAAGAACGGTTATTCCAGGAATTATGTCGGATGTTTATGATGGAAGCGTATGGAGGGACTTTAAGATGGATCCCACTGACGATATGCCATATGTCCAACAATCTGATTTCAATTTAATGGTGACAATTAACTGCGACTGGTTTCAATTGTATAAAAACAGCGTATATAGCTGTGGTGGAATTTATTTAACCATTCAGAATTTGCCTCGCGACGTTAGAAATTTGAGAAAAAATGTTGTTCTTGTTTGTCTTCTTCCTGGTCCCGGAGAGCCAAAAACATTTCAAATGAATCATTATTTGGGTCTTCTTGGTGATGAATTGCTTTTGTTGTCCAATGGTGTTGAAATACAAACGAGAAATCACGGTATTGTTACTGTCAAAGCTGCATTGACAATGGTTGCTTGTGATCTTCCAGCAACAAGAAAAGTGATTGGTATGACCTCTCACAACTCAACCAATGCATGTAATTATTGTACGCATCTGTTCGAATCAATACCAGGTCATACTCACCGAAGAAATTATGCTGATGCACCTCGTAATGATGATTGGATTGTTCGTGATCCAGTTACGCATCGTTTGGATGCCGAGATTTGGAAAAGTGCTACCACTGCCACCGCTAGAACCAACTTGGAAAAGGCAAACGGTGTCAGATACAGTGAATTACTTCGACTTCCGTATTTCAATCCCATTGAATTTGTTGCATTCGATATTTGCCACAACACCTTCATGGGAACGGCAAAAAGAATGATGCGTAACATCTGGCGTGAAGAAAATAACTTGGTAAACAACCGAACAGAGCCATTGATTACGAAGGATCATTTAAAAGAGATGTCAAAGTCCAGCTCCCAAAACTTTGTGCTCCCTTTTGGATACGACGGCCTTTCGATGAGTAGAAAAATGACGGTCGGTGATGTCGGTTTTGGTCATGTCAAGAGTGACGAGTTTAAGACTTGGGTTTTGGCCATGTCGCCATACTTGTTATCGATGAGGCTGCCTAAGGAATACTATGACAACTGGATGGATTTTGTTGCAGCAAATGTTTATTTGTCTAGTCCGATGATCTCGCTGGAAGAAGTTGACCTTATGCACCACCATATGAAAAAATTCTTGAACGATTTTGTAACGACGTATAACGATCCAACTCTTTTCGTCAGCAATATGCACTTTCACAGTCATTTGTGTGGTGATCCACCTACTGTTGTTACTAATCACACCATAAAACAATATTAAAATTAAATCTCACTTCATCACCCCATACATTATTACATCACAACACGAACTATTTTCTCATACATTATATCATATCCAACTACAAGCACTATTTTAGTGCTGTGTAACTTATCCATCAAACTAAATTCATAATCCGATTTCTCTTAACATATATAAATATGCAAACTGATAGTTAGAATAGAACCCTCGGAATCTTTTAATCTACTTTTACTCTTAATAAAACCTATAAGCAGTCTCAAAGTATTTTATTGTTTTTCTTTATCTATCTCTATCCTCGACTATCACAATTTGCGTGAAAATTTGTTACGTTTTGGCCCTGGTCCATCATCTTGGATATTCAATTTTGAGCGATACAACTGCGATATCAAATCCATCAAGACGAATCGTAAAGGCGCGGTAGAGAAGACGTTCATGTTAAAATTCTTACGTGCCGTTCATGCCAAAGACTATTACTCGATGCTGAACTCACACTTGATACTTGCATCGGATGACAACAAAAAAATAGAGAGATTGTTTTCGGGTGGAAATATTCACGGGTACGATGATGTTCATCCATGGGTAGAAAATGAGTACGTGGATTCCCTCAATGCTTTTTCACTTTACGAATTTCTAGCCATCAACCACGGCCATCATTTATGTTACGGGTATGAGCAGCTGCCACCAAGCGCACTCCGACGTATGAAGGTCAAGGATGCGATCCTAATGGATCCTGCAATGTTTAATCACTTGTTGGACTATTACACCGAAGTGTACAATTGTACCTACTCTGCTCCCACCACGGACAGAAACGTGTATCCTTTTGTGACACTTGATTTGTTCGGGTCTGTTTACAAGTCAATTGAATCATCATGTACGAACGCACGTGGATCATATATCCGTGCGTTCTACCGCTTAAATTATGACAATGATATTATCATCGAAAATGAAACAGTTGGGGATCGTGCTGCTCGGCATTACAAATGCCTGTCGAATTCAGGTGTTCTGCGACCTGCGCAAGTACTGATGTTTTTTCGTCATTCTGCAGATGTTTTGGGAGATGATAATGTTGTTGAAAAAATAATGCACACGTTTGCCTTGTGAGGTAATATGTACTGTCTTTTATTTTACTTAACGTTTCTAATGCATGCTTTTTTAATTAGATGGTTTAAGGAATCAGATATCCAATTGGGCTCTTTCGCTCATCATAATATGAGCGTTTATGCAAACGAATTTGAAGACATGTCTTACGAGTCCATCATTCCTGTTCATGTCATCCACTCTCCTATTGCTATCAAGATATCACATTTGACTAATATCAAGATAATCACTAATTTAGCTCAAACATTATTCTTTTAAATTCTGGTAACATGCATTTTTTTTATAAACCTTACAATATATATTTTTCTTTCACATCAGTTTTAGGAATATGATGTCATCAAAGATGTTTTTATTGAGGCGTATGTATTATTCGAATAATGCAAGAATATTTAGCTCGTATTGAAGGAGCCTCTCTGTCTATGACTTTGCGGTAATGAAGAAGCATATGGCATCAATTTGTCTTAATTATATATCACCGTTACTGCACCCTAAAATACAGACAACAAAAATCGTCGATTTGGGTTTTGCGGGAGAAATTACTTCGTTCGGCAACTTGGAATGAACAGTTACCATGTTCAATTTACACGTGTTGGGTCGCTTGTATTAAATACTGGTGTTGTGTTGAATGAACACCCGTGGTTCCTACAATTACGAAAATTATTAGGGTGACTACATGTAAGAGCGTTGTGGGGAAAGGTATTTGTATACCATTGGGGAACGCAAAGTAGAAATTCGGGTTCTGCTTCTACGGTGTCCAGATCTGGAGATTCATGTGTTGACTTTTGGCCATGCTAATGTTCGTGTTAATGTCGAATGGTGGACCTGATTTAAACTTGTAAGGAAATAAAACTTAAAATAGTAATAAAGGAGACTAATATTTCTTTTATGCAGTTATCTGAAACATGATGCTCACCACTTGCCTCATATGATTAAAGCCAAGCTCAGTTTGCTTTAAGGTAATAAAAATTAATACCGATATTCAATGAATTCGTCAATGAAGGTGAGAGAGTGTTTTTTAAGGTGTCATTGATATAACATATTTTAACACCACACATATTTAAAAAAAAAAGAAGAAAAAGAATGATTTATTAATCAAATACCATTTCGGACGGCCCAACTTGGCAAGCGGCCAATTTGTTCAAAAGGAACAGACAATGATGGTACCTGTCTGATTCTACGAGGTAATGGCCTTCCAACATTCCTCTGCCCAGAAGGAGAATCCAACTCATCAAACATTTCGTTCAGCTATTGTATCATAACCCAAAGGTGCGTTAGATCACTATGCTTTTTTTAATTTAATACTCATTCTTTTTATTTTTACCTGATCGGATCTCCAACTGGGACGAAGGCTGCTTTAAGAAAGGGCTTGATCTTGATCATTGACTTGATCATCCCCATACTCGGACATGTAGCCTTTTACAAGAAAAGCCCTGCAACTTTTTTTTGGGATGAAACTTTTGACCAATGTTTTCCTCATACTTCAAAAAGTTGTCCTTTCTTCTTCTGAATTTCTGTAAAATGGTAAAATTAGACTTACAATGATGGCAATCAAATATTGTACTTACGGCAGTCAGTCTTGCAGCTTGATTCTTCTTACGTCCAAGCTCTCCAAGTTCTTCTACGCGGTGTGTGCGTCTCGTGCGGTTCGCAAAATTCAACCCCTCGAAGTTTCTTCTGATTCTCGTCTTGACAAGTTTTGTTTTTGTCAAGGTCATCTTGTGAAGAGGACGAGCAGAATTAAAGGCTTCTGCCTTCTTCAGTCTAAACTGCTCAAGGATGTACTGAAAAATAGGGAGATTAATCCCCTTCATCACAGTGGTTGTGAAATCCCAGCCGTAAAGGTCTTTTCAGTAATGCAGTCTTGATAACACTGACGAATTAGGGTCTACACGTAACAAAATTAACGACCATTTTTTTTATCACGTTAGATTTACTTACACATTGTTCAGGGTCATTACCAGTTTTGGTGACATTACTCACAGCGGCAACCGTAGGATTCTCCAAAGCATAAATTCGAGTTTTCAGCCCTGCAATTTCTTGGGCCACAGTATCCGCTCTTAGGCCTCTACGAGCAGAAAAAGAAGCAGTTGCAACGTAGACAGATGAGCTTGTTGAGGGTTCCATTGATTTGTTTAAATAAAAAAAGGTAAAGGGTATTTATTTTATTTTCGTTTTTCTTTTAAATGAATATATGGATATTGTGATCAGTGTATCACTGTCAAAAAAAAAAAAGTGATTTTTGACACTTGGGGTTGCCTTAATAAGCCAGATCATAACAATCTATAAACCCAATTTTTTTTTAGTCTCGTTCGTATCTGGGAGGTTTTTTTTGGCTTATTAGACGGAGTATAAAATACGTAGTTGTAAGCCTTAGAGCCTGAATGGAAAAAAAATAACAATCCCAAAAACGACCCATATAAGGCAAGATACCCTCTGCTATTCGAAAATTAAAAACTTTTTCATTACGCATTAATTCTTTGTAATTTAATAAAATGTCGAAAGACAAACGAAATAAAGTACATAAAGAAAAGAAAAAAACAAAGGAAAGTCTCGGATGGCTACATCTGACACGACAAAATTGTCTAATGATGAGGGTGAGATCAACCAATCTGCCAAGATCTTTCTTCGATTGAAGACCACTGCTTTTAATAAAACCAATGAGGCATCTGGAAGTTCTACAGACGTTATTAAATCTCTACCTAATAATTTTAGCAATAGTCGCTCCAAACAACGAAAATCAAACAAGTGATTTACAGGGCAAAATATTCTTAAGATTGCCTTTACCACAACCCAAGGATGTTTTTGAAAGAATCGCTCAGATCAATAGAGCCAAACGTCGTACGCATTTTGATGAATCATCAGATAGGAGGGAAACGCCCGAGAGTGCTGCAAAAGGCGATAACATTGAAACGAGTTCTACTTCCGTATTTAGATCGGATGCTTCCACCAAAAAAAGAATTGTAAAAAAAAAGCAACGGCGACAGGCACCCAACAGTACCTATAAGGAATATCTACAGCAATATCGACAAAGCAAGACAAACAAAGAAAAGATAAAAAATTATCAGCGCAAATATCAGGCCAAATATCGCACTAGAGTGGACGATGCCGAAGAACCTAATGAGCAACCTGAAGAACCCGAAGCAGAGTTGGAGGATCCGTTTGAACCTATCATCGATCAAGAAAGGGTAGAGAGAGAAGCTGATGAAGAATTTGACAGTTGGTAACAATGACGACGAAAGCGATGGCAATCAAAATGATAGTGAAGAAGAGACCCAACAAGTAATACATTCCATAACACATTCTTAAATTTTGTCTAATCTCTTAAAATGAATTAGGAAACACCTTGGGAAAAAAGTAGAAAAAAGTATGAAAAAGCTATCAAAGAAGGACCGACCACTGTTTGTATTTGTTGTGGCGGGTTATTTTTTCTCAAAAATGTATCCTTGCTAAACAAAGATACGATGCTTGAGAAATGGAAAACAGATGGCTATGTTGTGGATGCAGTGTATTGGCCACTAGGATAATGGTGTGTACAGCAATCATACCAACATTACAATCACAAAAACCGGAAGTAACAAACATTATTTTTGCGCAAATTGCAAAACTTCGATCAAAAATAATAAGATACCAACAATTGCATTGAGTAATGGTTTAAACTTTCCTGCGAAAGTACCTTGTGTTTTGGAATTAACCAGATTAGAGGAAAGACTTGTGGCCCCAAGGCATGTCTTTCAGTCTATTTGGACTCACAAAGGTGAACATGGACAGTTCAAGAGTAAGGGAGGAATTGTAAATGTACCTGTAAACGTAGATACTACTGTCAGTTGTTTACCTCGTAATTACGATGCATCCGGTGTAGTTCACTTGAGTCTTGCTAGAAAACTTATTTTTAAAAAAGATTATATCAGAGGAAATGTCAGCCCACATAAAGTATGGAATGCTGCAAGGTATTTGCAAACTACTCCATTGTATACCGAATACGAAGTTCAATTAGCGGACCAAACCGAATGGGATTCAACGAATTTAGCTGTCGAAGAAAATGAAGATAATGATGAGGGAGATGAGCCAAATGAAAATACCGGGGAAAATAATGATATTGAGGATGAGCCTCTGAATCCTGGAGCAACAGACTCTATTTTATCAAGTGACAACGACTTTAATATTAGACTTGCACCTGGTGAAGGCAGAGTCCCATTATCAATATTAAAAGATAAGGATAGTGATTTTTTGTCTTTTCCTAAAATTTTTTTTGGTACCAAGATAGAGGGGTTAAATTCCATTTCTTATTCATCCGTGACAAAATCTATGGCCAGAAGATTCGATAGAAGAGCAGTAGAAAGAGCAGATTATCTATTGTTTATGGACCGCAAGACCCAATTATTGAAAATGAGTTCGAACATCAACACAATTTTAAGAAAGCGAAAGAACACTGACAATGGTAACATGCCGTTTACAGCTAAGGATGTTGGTAACACGGATAATGTAAACCGGCTTTTGAGCAAAGACCAAGCATTCAAGACGTTATCTGGTGTGCGTTCTTCTTCCGAATATTGGAAAAACCAAAAAAAGAATTCAATGGCTATGATTCGACAATATGGTGTGCCAACTGTATTTGTAACTGTTTCTGCAGCCGAAAGTAAATGGAACGAACTGCTTTGCGTGCTAAAAAAAATTATTGACGACGACGTAATGACTGACGAACAAGCAGATACATTGTCTTTTGCCGAGAAAGCAAGATTATTACAAAGTGATCCTGTTACTGCTGCTAGATACTTTGATCATAGATTTCGTGAGTTGAAGAAAACTTGGGCTGAAAAAGATGGTCCTTTTTTTGGGCATGAAATTTCAGAGTACTTTTTCAGGGTTGAATTCCAACATAGAGGTATGAATTTTGTCGCTGTAAAAATTAAGAACTTATTAATTTGTATATGTAACAATAGGATCTCCTCATGTACACATGCTATTGTGGTTGAAAGATGCACCGGTATTAGGGGACAAAATATGTGAGAACGAAACTGAAGCAGACGACATAAAAGCAAACATTTGCAGCTTTGTTGACAAAATTATCACTCGCAGTAAAAAATGGGATGGTAGTCCACATCATGATGCAGCTTCAAAAAGCAATGCGGAAACTTGGAAAGACTTACTACGAACAAGACAGACACATCGGCATACAGGCACATGTAGAAGAAAACGAGGCGGCAACAAAGTTGTATGTAGATTCAATATCCCTTTTCCACCTATCAGCTGCACAACAATTATGGACCCGTTGGATTTAACGAAATATTCAGCTGAAAATATAAAAGATTTTAAGGAATTGAACAAACGAATCATGGATTATCTCGATACCAATTATAAAGAGCTGTCTGATTCCAATACATCATTCGAAGAATTTCTGGATCTTGTTGATGCTCGATCTTATAACGATTATGTTCTTGCATTGAGAGTAAATCTCAAAATGCACAAGCTTTATATTAAAAGGGAGCCAAATGCTATCATGATAAATAATTACAGCCCAAAAATAATCAGTTTGTTTCGATCAAATATGGATATTCAATTTATTCTGGATCCTTACGCTTGCTGTGCATACGTTATGGATTATATCAACAAATCTGATAGAGGCATGAGCAAAGCAATGGAAGAAATATATGTTAATCATAAAAATAATCCTGATACTAATTCCACTGATATGCTGCGATCTTTGGCTGCACAGTACTATAACTCCAGTGAAATATCTGCACAAGAAGCCGCTTATAATCTTCTTGGTATTAGAATGGTAGAATCGAGTACAGTGACAATTTTTGTTCCTACTTCAAGACCAACAAATCGAACGCACATTCTTAAAAGTCAAGAGGAACTAGCTAAATTGAACCCTGATTCAACTAACTGTTTTGTGCCTGGTTTAATTGATCATTATACGAATAGACCTGATTGCCTAGAAGACATTAATTTGGCTCAGTTTGCTGCCTATTATGAAATTAGTCGAAAATCACCAAAGAAGAAACGCAACACCAGTCAAGAAGAAAATGATGGTGATGATAATAATGATAGTAACTTTTCTGATATCAACTTACCTGATGGATCTGGTGATGATGGCCCTTCGCTTGATACATTACTTGGCGGTCGTTCAGGAAAAGTCTTTGCCCTTAAAAATGATTCTGGATTTTTAACTCGTAGAGCCAAGTCAAAAGTTATCCGTTACTACAAACTCAACCTTGAAAAAGAGCCTTCCAAATTTTTTAGAACCTTGATCATGTTGTATAAACCTTGGAGAGACGAAGAAAAAGAATTGTTAGACATAATACATGAAGATGTATTCAATGCTAACATAAATTTGATTATGGAACGGAAAAAAGAATTTTGTGCTATTGACGATGCTACGTTGGACATGTACATGGAACAATTGAATCAAGAGACGGCCGATAATATTATTGGTGGTTCTGAAGATGAAGAAAATACTGAAGTACCAGGCGATATCATTAATAATTTTGGTCGATATACTCTGGACATTGATGACTCAAGTGAGGGTAACTATCATCGAAGCAACGATCTTGGTGATGATCTTTTAAACAATAACTCGAGAGACAACAGCCAAAAAACGTACTTGGAAAAATTCAAGTTACCTGACCGGCTATCTAAGGCTGAATTTTACGAGCTGGTATCCAAGTTGAACACAAAACAACGCGAATATTTCACGCACACCCTAAATCATATAAGATACAATCGTGATAGAGTGACAATCCGCATGTTTAGTAGTGACAACGAGTCTGTACGTACCTTTGCAACGTTTCGTGATTTTGTTACTGGTGGTGCCGGTGTAGGAAAACGAATGCCAATTAAAGCATTGTATGAAAGTATAAATGTGGAATTCGACGGTGAAAGGGATACAGAAATAAACACACCGATTGTTTTGCTTACCGCACCCACCGTTAAAGCTGTATTCAATATGAATGATCAAACCCTACATGGCGCATTTCAGCTTCCAGTAAACCAGTATGGTAGTGGTGGTGTTAATAATCTTTCTGCAGACGTCAGCCACTCTATGGCAGTTGCATAAAAGATTTAAAGGTATTAATTATTGATGAAATTAGCATGGTCGGAAATATCATGTTTTCTTGGATTGA